CCTAAAGACAAAAAAAAAAAAAAAAAAAAAAACCACCCTGGAGACTGGAGAAACAACAGTAACACAAGTTGGCCAAAGCAAACAGCACAGGTCTACAGACACTGCCTCGGTGTGGACATCTCTGGGGTTGGCCGCGGCCTTCCAACGAAGGCTTCTTGCTGCCTGGCTGTAAAGGTACCTTTTTCTGTTGGTGATCTATCATGACATTGTGAGGTTTCACATCCCTGTGCATGATTCCCTTGCTGTGGCAGTAATCCAGAGCCTATTAGGTAAGAAAGCACAGAGAAAAGTAAGCAAACCCTCTACCACCCCCGATGCAAGTATATTCTTCTTTGTTTGTGACACCTTGACTTGAAGATAGTCTCCTAAGGGTAGCTTATTGTCTGTAATTATAGAGAAATACAGGGTTCAGAAGGTACACTCTGCTCTCTCTGTGCCCACTGCTGCTGGCAGCTAGTAGAAAGAGGACTATGAAGGAGGAAATGTCGAGGGCTACAATGAAGGTTTGTTTTTGTTTTTTATTTTAAAGGGAGGTGAGATGAATCTGGTCTGGGAACCTTACTGGAGAGTCACATCTCATAGTGGTCCAAAAGGCATGTCAGAATCCATGTGGACAAGAAGCGTGATGTTCAAATAAATGTATCTTTCAACACGGCTTATCTTTTAGACATGTGTCCATGTGGGTTTTCTATATTAATGAGCATTAGACTTTTTCTTAAATACAATCCTTGAGCTGGCTGGCCTTTAAGAATTACCATTTTATTATTATACAAGAGAAAAACTGCTTCTAATAAGATAATATACAGATTAGATTTTAAGGCATATAAGTCAATGATTTTTGGAAAATTCGGAGTTGTGCAATCACCACCATAATCCATAACTTTTCTATCAGCCCCAAAATTTCCTTTGAGCTTGTATGCAGTCAATCCTCACTCCCGATACTCTCAACCCCTCCTTGCCCTGCTTTCCACACTCATCTGCTATGTGTAGTTATAGATTTGCCTTTTCTGGGCACCTAGAAAGTGAAATCACACATGTATAGTATTCTGTATACTTTATTCTCTGCCCAGATGTACTAGTTGATGTTTATTTGGGCTGTTTCTTTCTGGCTATTATGAATGCTGTGGCTATGGGAAAATTCAGGTGTGAGTCTTTGAGAGGGCATATACTTTCATTTCTCATGGGTAGATGCCAAGGGGTGGAAGTGGTGGATTGTATGGTAAGTTTACATCAGACTTTTATTTTTTAGAGTGGCTGGAACATTTTACATCCCCACCAGCAACATGGTTGTTCCTCTTTTTGACTACAGCTGTTCCTGTGGGTGTAAAGTGGTAGTTTGTTGTGGTTTTGATTTGTAGTTCCCAAATGAGCAATAAAGTTGAACATCTTTTCAAACTTATTGACTATATCTTCTTCAAAATGATGACACAAATCCTTCGCTATTTTTAAAAATGAGTTAAACTTATCCTGCACCCCCAAATAATACAAAACCTTGTTCCTTATTCTCTCCTCATACAGTAAATTTCAAAGTTAGAACATTGGCTTGTCTTAAAAAGCACTAGAAGCCTCCACAAGGCCAGTGATATATTCGAGTAACCAAGTAATGACAGCAGTCCATAATCACATGGTAACCACTATGTGCATGCCAAGTGCTCTTGGTGGCATTTTTATGGGGCTAGATTAGGATTTCTCACAACCTTAGCACTCTTGAGGTTTTTAGTCAAGTAATTCTTGGTTGTGGAGAGCTGTCCTACGGACTGGAAGATACTGAGCAGAATCCTAGGCCTCTACCAACCAGCTGTAACACCAAAAATGGCTCCAGATATTGCCAGTGTTCCCTGAGGGGCAACTGACCAGGCTGAGATACACTGAACTAGACTGGCAAGGACAATGTATAGTCCATCTTTACACTGAAGGAATACATAAACCAGGGAATGATCCCTAGGATTGGCATTTCAGGTATAAACTCCCCCGGTCCATGTACAATTTCACTTTTCCTAGACACAAAGGAGCACATAATAGATAATGCCTTCTACTTGAAGATCATTAACAGACAGTACCAAACATAGATAGAGATAAGAAGATAATCTTCAGAGGAGGTGATACTGAAGAGAGGCAGGAGAGAGCATTTCGGGACGTTTAGCATACTCTTTTATCAGTCCTATTCAACAGGACCTTCTGCAACAGTGGACATGTTCTATAACTGCAACGTACAATACAGTAGTCATTACACTGAGGCTATCAAGCACTTGAAATGTGGCTAGTGTGACTAAGGAACTAAGTTTCACATTTAATGTCATTTAAATAGCTACCTATAGGTAGCAGCTACCACTAGATAGCATAGTTCTATATAGCTATATGTGAAAATGTTACACAAGTTAAATTAAAAAAAAAAACACTTAATAGATATTCACTTCACTTATATTCTATTTTGATTGAATTTCTTTCTTATGTTTTACAACAGCTGTAGCAAGATTTCGAAGTGCCTTTGTGGCAGTGCCTTATGAAATCCAGGGCAGACCTCCCTGAATCTCAGCCAGGAGATTGGATCCTGCTACAAAGCCTCAGTGAATCATGGGGCAAGCACACTGCAGCTCCGTAGCCTTGCTTTCTTACATTGTCAGTGAAGTTAAATATCTCCCCTTTTTCATTCTTTTTTTTTTCCTTCAAGAGAAAATTTATCAAGTGATGATTCTATAGTACTATTTTGCTTAATCTTTGCCAAAATAATTAAATTAATTGGGACCACAATACCTGGGATATGAAAAATACCTGATGAAAGCAAAGGCTGAACAAATACAGTAAGGTAATTCTTTTGTCAGGTTCACTAGTCAGACTCTCTGTGGAGTTACTGACATGCTTTTAAATTCCTTAGGGAATTATTTCAGTTTTTAAATCCAGTAGGGTTTGACCATTAAGCATGAAAGATGTTTTTTCAAGTTTCATCTGGGATTTGCCTTATTAGCAGAAAGAGATGTGTCCTAATAGTCTAGCAGAAAGGACATCAGACATTTAGTGACATCTGTATAGCCAGCCCGGGAAGACCAGCATTACTGGGATGTCTTTACCTGATCTAAGGACAGATGAGCTAGGTTATACATCTTCACCTTTGGTGCTAGCTAAAAACTGCAAAATCTCAAATCTTACTTAAAGTAACCTACTGTGAGATCGGACTGTAGTTCTCATGGGGTGAGTGCACAGATTTCCTGGGAAGCACCCTGAGGGAAGACTAGGCCTTCCCAGGACCATGGCACTGCAAACCTCTTCCACACCAGGGCTTCAGTTTTAGTCTGGAGAGGACATGGAGAAAGGGGGGATAAATCAAGCTCTACCCTTGTCTTTCTGATCATGATGACAATGAAGACTCTCAAGTCTATCATCTTAACTCTCTAATGACAAACAGTTTGTTCGAGTATTCATGTATGAAGCACGTTTTTAAAATTCCCATTCCCTAAAGCTCAGCCTCGACTTGACCTGGTATTTTGTCCAAACAATTGTTTGCAATCCTACTGAAACTCCGTCTTGGCATTTTTCTTCAACAATACCAGTACCTCATTCATCTCTCTCTTATTTCAGTTGTTCCTAAGATTCACAATCCCCCTAAAACTTCATACAATACTATACATATATATACACGTATTTTCAGAAGGAGTTCATGATTTTTATCAGATCTTAGCGATACACAACCCTAAAAAGCTAGAACCCACTGGTCTATTTAATTTTACACTTTTGGGATTCTTTAACTAACTGTATACCTACACAAACTAAAAAAAAAAAAAAAATTCCACCATCTATCAGTAATTTCATAAAGCCTGGGATCAGATTTCTTAGATGGTCCCTGCATTATGTCTCCCTGCATTAACTAGCCCAGCCTAGAGGGGGAGTGTAGGCAGTCCCATATAAGAAAGGGATCTTGATAGATGGCAAGAAAATAATGGCCACAAATGCCTCCCATCCCTGATGCATATCTTCCTGCAACATGACTTCAATGCTTTTCCAATTAAGAAATGAGATCTTTTTCTCTACATTTTGGAGGTAGGCATGGACATGTGATTTGCTTTCCCTAATAGGGTATTAGCCAACATGTTAGAGCAGAGGGTTGAAAAGTGCCTGCACATGGAGGATTGTCCCTCCCTTCCTGCTAGGAACCCGAGACCACCATGAGAAGAAGCCCAAACTAATCTCCTGGAAGATGAGCTTTCAGCTATCCCAGTTGCTCCAGCTGAAGTTCCAGGTATGTGAATAAGGCCGTCCTGGACCACCTAAATTGACCCAGACCTAAAGAATCATCCAGCTAACTAACAGAATTATGAGGAATAATAAATCATTTTTAAAAAGCCATTAAGTTCGGGGTGATTTGTTATGCAGAGAAAACTAAGTATTTATTAAGCAGCAAAGATAAAATCCACAGTAAGAGCTGTGGGAGTCTCTAATCTTTGGTATAGTGTCCCTGGTCCCCTGTGACTTGGCCATCTTTCTCAGTTCCATGAAAAAGATGAAGATCTTTCTTCTTCCATGAAGATCTCATGATGCAGGCCTCAAGAGAGGTTTGAACATCTCACTAAATTCTCTGGTTATGAAGTAATATTCTGCTTGAGTTCTCTTTGTCCTCTCAAAAACTTCTCCTTCAATGAGTAAGCCTAATAAAATTCAATGTTTATAAATGCCACTTACTTTTAGTAGTTCATACATATAAAACCGGATATCAAAGTCTGTCAGGATCTGGTAGAGTTGCTGCAACAGATTTTGGAAAACGATAAGTTAATTCAGTCTCTTGCATTTTGTCATCCCTAGTGCAGGTCACTCTCAGTAAAGTTACTTAGTGCTTAGTAAGCTAAGAAGTCCCATGACTTTTTACTACCTGACTGGGAACAAAGACTAAAGATGAGGGCCTAACCAACCCCACTGCACCACCATAGTGTATTTTGGAGAACTGAGTTCTAAGTAGATAGCAGAGCTCTGTAGAACGTCATTGGCTGACAGGGTAAAATAGTAGCAAGACAAGATGCTTGTGAAAGAATGTGAGGAAAAAGAAGCATTACAGCATTTGGAGGTGACAAGCAACTTTCCAAAAGTCTATACCCAAAGCCCCTGTCAACCAGGCTGGAAAAAAAAAAAATCACATCTCATAACAACTGATGTTTTAGATGTAAGAATAAAGGAGTGGGACCAGCAGGTGGCACAGTGGTGGTTAAGGGTGCTGGGCTCTCACATGACAGACCGTGGTTTGAGTCTTGGACCTGGCAGCTTGCTTTCTCACTTGCGCTCTCTCTCTCTCTGTGGTCAAATTGAAATAAATAAATAAATAAATATATAAAGTTGAATAAAATAATTATTTAAAAAATAAATAAAGGAATGGTAGAGTGGGGTATTAAGGAGATACTGAAAATGATCACAGGCCAAAGTGACACACAAATGAAAACTTTCATTATTAATAATCGAAAGACATTTGGACTGACATTTTTAAAAAAAATTTCAGAGTCAGACTAACATTTGTGCAACAAAGTTCACTATAAGCAGCAAAAACCCTTGTCAGAAACTGTATGTACTATTATTACCTTTGATATTCAGTCAATTCCAAGCAAATCTCTTTCTCCATCAATTCAAGCAATGCTTTCTTCAAAAATTGATCGACACATCTTTATTAAACCTTCTCTAGCTCTTCTATTGGAATAACAGCTTAAGCAACGTAAGGAATCTCTCCAAGAGGCATAAAAGAGTGTATACAATGTGTCTGGGGAGGAGGAGGGGACTGGACTACCCATCTATATCTTTCTTATTGGCAAAAATTATACAGAAGAAACTAATAAAAAGTGGTTTCACATATACATGTGTGGAGGAGTAGGCAGCTGGGATACAGGGGAATAAAGGAGACTCTTCACTATTTGATATTTGTTCAAAAATACTTTTTTAAAGAAAACGACAAATCTGCCAAGAATCAAACTTAACATTTTGTAAGAACCCAAGACTTTAGAATTCTCCTTCTAGGTAAGGGTAATTTTCCTTTCCAGCTTAGTAAGAATATTTGATTTCATCAATGGCAGACAGCTGCTGGCTCAAGGCATAGCAGAGAATTAAAACACAGGCCAGTGGCATCAGGAGCTGCTCAGAACTGGAGGCTGACCCTGGTTGGGACTGAACTGCATTCAAGCAGAATGGCACAGATAAGCCAACATTTCTGCTCAGGAGAGTTTCAACCACCTAACACACACCCCAGTTTTCTATTTATTCTGCAACGTTTGCACTGCAAGCCTTAGCCTGTATGTGGCTGTACAGCATGGCTGATTGTAGAGACAGACTAAGATATCACCTCTTGGCTGTCCAGGCACCTCCTTCTCTGTGAGTTAAGGAGATCCCTTGCCGAGACTGTGTTAAACTGAACTTTTAGTCAATGAATGGCTGACAAAAGAGAAAAGTTCAAAGTTTCTAACCTTCGGAGGGCTGGAATATTTTTTCCTAGAAACCTGTTATGGGTAGGACCAGCAGATGGCGTAATGGCTATGTCACTGGACTCCCATATAATCGACTTCAGTTCAAGTCCTGGACCCGGTGGCTTAAACTCTTGCCAGGTGCATGTGCATGTATGCCCAAGATCCCGAGAGGAGAATGGAAAAGAAGGGATTGCAGCGTGCCCATCCCCTTGGGGGGTGATTTCTCGCTTTCTGTCTCTCTGTCTCTGTTTTTCTGGCACTGCACGTGCTCTATAGCAAAAATCTCTCAAAAACAAAAACAAAAACAAAACAAACAAAAACTGTTATGGGCTATTTTATTTGGACTTTTGGGGGGAGAGGCTCTTACTGTAAGGCATGTGTGCTTACTGGAATGAGACAGACAGAAACAGAAAGCAAGAAATCACTTCCAGGGGTATGGCCATGCCACAATCCCTTCTCCTCCATTCTCCTCTATGGATCTTGGATATGCACCCACACGCGCTCAACATGACTTTAAGCTGCCCAGTCCGGGACTTGAACCAAAGTCAACTACATGGGAGTCCAGCAACGTAAACATTATGCCATCTGCTGGTCCCTTATTTGGACTTTTTCTGTGAAAGGTTTTTCTCCTTATATCATGCAGTATCTATATCAAACATGCATGTAAATGGTATATGGCATAAAAATGTGGACTGCCAACATATAGTACTTCTAGCTATTCCAACCAGTATCAACTTTACTTAAGAGACACCAATTGTATAATAGTGCTTAGGCCTAATACAAAGTCCTGAGTGACTGGCTGCTATTTACCCTCACTTCTCAGCAGCCTTTGGAGACGGGATAGGGGAGAGCAAACTTTAATTTTAACCACCTGGGCCTAAAATTCAGGACCACCATGGTACACAGTCTGCTTTCTCTCCAACTTCATAGCTCTGATCTCTACTGTAGTCCCCAGATGTCTCCCAGTCCCACCAAACAAGCCTGTGTCCTCATTCTCTCTCAGAATCCCCATTCCACAAATTTGGAATACCCTCATTTAACCTGTAAAGTCAAATCCATCCCATCCTATCCACCTCCTATGGAGCTGATAGCAGGCCCTCTCTTCTCTGAAGTCCATGCTGTTTACTCTCTGTCTAGAGTCTCACAGGACACTCACAGAAGCAGGGTCCCCAGAGAAAACATTCCTCTTAGTCATGGCAGTGACCTAAAGATCCTGAGGTCATCAACCACTCTGCTATCAATATTCACTTTGCCGTACTCTAGAGTCCATACCAACATTCCCTGCATACTGTGGTATACACAAATGACTGGGAGAAAACAGGTACCGTGGCTAGTGGTAGACACCAATTTGGCAATTCAAGCTCTCTGAACTGCCCCCATGCGCTATTATACCTGGGTCCACTGTGTAACTCCCTATTATACCTATTATTTCCACATCAAGCTCTCCAACCACATTCTAAGTCCTTGTACGTCAGAATAACATATGCTTTACATACTCTACACCGAGTCTGGTGTTCTCTGCTTTGTGCATAACCTTTTTATGTTCGCCAACCAACGGAACAAAATAGAAACCATCTTCCAAGAAATACAAATACCAAGAGTCCAAGACAAATTAGAAAGGGAAACTTCACAAGAAACTACTCACCAATCCCCAAAGCTTCAAACACCAGCATTTTCCTAGATCTCAGATCCATTATGAGACTGCTCAAAAGGGCCCATAGTGGAGATTCCCCAGGCTTTTTAATTAACCCCAAAGCCTGGGGATGAAAATGGCAGAAGCTGCAATTGGATCACTGAACTCCGGGTCTCCCTGCCAGGGAGGAATGGCCACATGCAGGCCTCACTTCTTCTATCTGCAGGCACAGAGCCCTTCAGACACCAGGGGCAGTTCAGTTGAATCACAATCAGCCACAGGTCCCAGGGCCCTATCCCCAACAACTAGTATTCAGAAGGACTCATACATTCCGAAAAGGTTAATTACCAGGTAGCTCTGGTCACATGCCAGATATGGACATCACCCACAGAGCAAGCTCTCACCGGCCACAGAGCTTGCCATTCTCTCATGTACACAGCTTAGTCTATGTCTAGAAACCTCAGTTTGCCCACAAAGGGAAAAGAAAAAACAGGGGGAATGGGATATAAAGTGAAAGAGAAAGAGGTACGTAAGGTAGCAACTACAAGTTGAGGCATTAACATGTAACTTGCAGACCCAGAAAAAAACCCAGGTCAACACTGTTAGAAATTTGAGGAAGTACAACAAATCCTTAATCAAGTAAATCAAAGCCACTACAATCATCTGAAAATGTGATTTATTTCCGTGAAGTTTTATAAGGAAATGACAAAATAACGTTAATGATCTATAGTAACAGTACATTTTGTTCCAATAGGAAACCTGTATTTAGTCTGTGAACTCAAACTAACAGGAATCAGCAAGGTCTTACACTATAAACTAGTCAAGGCCTACTTCTATGCCAGTGATTTAGGAACTGTGCAAATATCAATGCGACTACCATCTACTTAGGACAGAGTTCATTCAATCTTTAACATGCCCAAATAATATGCTTTACTTAAAATATAGATTCATTTTTACCTATATTTTCCCAAAGGCATAGAAAATTGAGAGGCATGTCTCAAGAAGGACTTCAGTACATCAAAAAGGTACCTATCTTATTAGATTCCCCTGAGGTATTTTTGACTTTGAAGGTTTGCTGTAATTACTCATTCCAACTCTCAGACTGGCTTTCCCATTCATTTGTTTCAGAATTCTGTCTTTTGTTCTCAGTATCATCATGCATCTTTCATTATAGTTTTGACATATATAAGGCACTGACCAAACCAGTACCTCTACCATAAAGTGAAATATAAGGGTTACTAAGGCCACTGAAGCTCTGAACTAAATTAACACTCTTGATAAAAAGAAAGTCCATATACTAAAGTCACATTAATAGCTACTGATAAATTCCAAATAATCATGTTCTCTGGATACAATGCAATCAAAATAGGAACCAAAAATAAGTTTTAGAAATATAATTGAATTCTGGATCACAGTACATTCACAAACACAAAGCTTTATGAAAGGATATTAGGACAGTAGTTACTGGGAAATTTTAAAATATGGGCTCTACAGTATTGTAGATGGCATGGCTATATAAATGTTAACTTTCTTTTTTTTAAAGAATTTTATTTAACTTTATATATTTATTTATTTTAATTTGACCAGAGAGGGACAGAGAGTGAGAGTGAGAGAATGAGAGAGTGAGAGTGAGAGAGAGTGAGAGAGAGAGAGAGAAGGAAATTGAGAAAGCAAGCCGCCAGCTCCAGTACTTGAACTGAGGTTGGCCATGTGGGAGTCCAGCATCTTTAACCACCACACCACCTGCTGGCCCCTAAATGTTAAATTTCTTAGGTGTACTAATAGTAAGAATTGGGTTATGCCGACATGTCCTAGTTTGGGTGCTAGCAGATTTAAGAACAAATAGCATGATGTATGTCAGCAACTTAGTTTAAGACAACGCAGAACAAAGACAAGCTACAGATAGAAAAGGGAGAGTGGGGAAAAGAGGAAAATAACAACAAATGTGGCAAAATACATTTTTTAAATAATTATTTATTTTAATTTAATTCATTTATTTTAATTTGACCAGAGAGAGACACGGAGAGGAGGGAAAGTTAGAAAGCAAGTCATCAGGTCCGGGACTTGAACCATGGTTGGCCATGTAGGAATGTGACTTAACCACCATGCCACCTGCTGGCTGGCCCCAAAATGTGGCAAAATATTAACGACTAGTAAATCTAAGTAAAGAATGTAAGGGTACTACTGGTTGTGCTACTCTTT